TATGTCATAGGTTTGCATTCCTAAGTGCAGAGTAGTTGATACCCATATGTGGTTTCAGTATACATTACTCTCTGTTATAGAGGACATTAGAGAACACTTAGAGCATAGATACATTGAACAACTGAAAACTCAAATGCAATAAATAAATTGAGTAAAATCTCATAAGCTATACATGTTCACACCAATGTTCTAAAAGGCAATAGGCGCTAGTCGGGCGCCAGCCCAGCGCCTAGGCGGCTAGGCGGGCGCCTAGTCGGGGACTAGTCGAAACATATAAATTGCATTTTTATCTATATTTTGCATAAATATGATAAGTAATATTGTATTCTTGTGTGAATAAAATACATATATACACATACATTAACAAACATGATAGAATTATCACATTTAATCATACGTAGTACTTCGTATATGATAACTAAACACTTAACTTCATTATGTTATAAATATAATTATATAAATAATAATAAAATTTAGGTGTATATACAAACATATATAGTCTTTATCTCAATTTACAACTTCATTTCTTTATATCTTTGGCTAAAGTTAAAGCACTTATATTGCTTAGAAAATTAAAATTGAAAAGTAAAGTAATGTTCGGCGAATCTAGACGGCCGATTAGGCGCTCTGGGCGGGCAATTAGGCGCCATCGGCGGCCGACTAATTCACCTAGACGGCAAACCAATTAATCGGAGCGCCTAGACAAAAATCGGGACGGTCGACCACCGCCTAGCGCCTAGGCGGGGACTAGTCGGACGCCTAGAACGATTTTTAGAACAGAGGTTCACACCAAGTAAAAAGTCCATCAAATATAGAAAAGCAAGGACAAAAAATGATGAAAACAACCCTTAATTCCGAAGGATAGCAAGCCATAATGCAGATTTTCAAATCAATTTCACCGGACAACATTATATAAGCACTTCAGACCAATGTCCTTTTGACCAATGACATAAGCACTCCTGCCTCACCAATCCATCTTCTCTCGCAATCCCCCCCCCCCCCCCCCCCCCCGACTAAAATCAATGTTCATAAACGATTAGCTATTAACATAATTCCGAGTTGTTCACATTTCAATCACGAAAACCTAGAAATCAATATGTAGATGAATAAATAAATACGAAGTACATAAATAAATAAAGAAAAGAAAACATTACTGGATAAGTATCTTTGAGTATGTTATTGAAGATGAAGTTTGCGGCATAAGCGCCAACTGGAGATGAAGACTCGCGGCCGGCATAGTAGCGATCGATGTTAAATCGCTGCAGATGAAGCCAACTGTGTATAGTTTGAAGCGGGAAGGTCGTTTGACGGTGATACAACCAACGGAGTATGGGCTATGCGTCGACGGAGATCTCTTCTACTCTGGAGTCTGGGCTGCGCATAGATGGCGATCTCTTACTCTGGATCTGGACTTTCGTAGTCTTCGCACTTCGAGAGGTGGAGTGCTTTAGGTATGTGTTTGTGCGTCGATGTCTTTAGGTCTAACAGACATGAGTTTAACTATTCACTCTGTAAAAAATACTCCGTATGATTTTTACTCCGTATTAAAAATTGAGTGTCACTATACATGGTAAATCAATTAGGGCTGATACAATAGTGTCATAAACGCCTAATGTAATGGAAAGTGTCACTAAAATAGTGTCATTGTAAGCAGTTTTTAATTTCTAGTAGTGTGTGTGTGTATGTATGTATGTGTGTATGTATGTATGTATGTATGTATGTATGTATGTATGTATGTATGTATGTATGTATGTATGTATGTGTGTATGTATGTATGTATGTATGTATGTATGTATGTATGTGTGTATGTATGTATGTATGTATGTATGTATGTATGTATGTATGTATGTATGTATGTATGTATGTATGTATGTATGTATACTCCCTCCGGTTCTGATTCTCCTTTACAACTTGACTTCACAAATATTAAGGAAAAAAATTGACTTTACTGTAGAGTACACTGTTTGGCACTGTTTAGTGTAGATTTGTAAGGAAAATAAGGAAGTTTAAATTAAAGTTGATTCTGGTACTAACAAAAAAGGAAAGTGAAAAGAAGAATCAGAACCGGAGGGAGTATATATTACATGCAAAATGATTATATTCCAATTATGTAATTATTATATGTAAAATTTTGACATGCAAAGAATCAAAGGCTTCCTAATACTACTTTGATATTATTTTAGATGATATTAGGCTTATTCTTCATCATGAAGCTAGAATGGAAGTCATTCATTGCATGAGATACGCGAATGGTGCAACTCATTGCTTAGCTAGGGCTGCCCTTTTTATGTCGGACGGCGCTACTAGTCTGTATACTCCTGCTTGCATTGTAAGCCAGTTGGAAAACGATAAATTGATTTAATATAATGCTTAGTTTTCCTTTCAAAAAAATACTACTGGCTAAAATAGCGGTATTCATTAGTTTTTCTAAAAGTGGAATGTAAAATTTAATATCACTCAAATAATTGAGTGTAATTAGGTCAAATTCTAACAAACTCCATATTTTAAAGTGCTTTTTCTACCGACCTTTTTTGCATGGCTAATTTTTTCCTTATTTCCTTTTAAGCATTGAAAATGTTGCTCGTTTGTTACTTCAATCATAAATATACGTTTTTCTAAACAAATCCATCTCTTCCTAAAAATGAAACCGATGGAATCAGTCAAGTAGTCCGAACTCCGGCATGTTTTCAGGTGCTCCCATTCCGCACTCTGTGAATTGAACGTTCTTCCGGAATGCCTGCATGCGCGCCGTGTGTCCACCTTATCCCGACGCCGTTGACTACCTCATTTTGACTGGACAAATTGAATTGCCAGATGTCACAAAAAATTTGACATTTTTCATCTGTATGCATGATTATATATGGATGCAATATAATGTACTTACCAAAACTATGAAAAAATTCATAATAGAATCTAAGACCCTTTTCAAAAATTCATAATAGAATCTAAGACCCTTTTTTTGGACGATTTTTTGAAAGGAAGTTGCCGAACTATATTCATTTAAACTACTACGTATATTGATTTAAACAAACGTTTGCAATTATAATACGACTTATAGCTAGCTCAAACTCTACCAAATATCTTCCAATAGGCCCCGATCCATAGAGACCAAAAGCAGTCCTACGATCACATTTTGTGATTATCACATTTAAAGAATCACCGTGAATCACTTACTACTAAACGGGTAACCTAAAATTGTTTTTTACCGTTAAGATCGCAATATTCCTTCTTCCTTCGAAAATCTAAAAAATAGCTGGAATATTCCATCAATCACTGACCATACGTAGAAAAGTTCACCAAAAGTTCACCAAACTGTGTTGTGAATCACAAATTATTTGACAAAATAGAAAATGAGAGATTTTTTATGAATGGGCAAAAAAAATAGAAGATAATTCAGGGACGGAGGGATTAAATTAATTAATATCTTATATGATGAAGAAATTTATGATTTATTATTATACATGCATATATGTATGTTTGTAGTATAATTTAAAAAAATTGATTTTTACTCCAGGGCGCGTCAGAAGGAGGGGGGTTGGAGGTCTAGAGTAATCATGGCTGAAACTCACTCCATTGAGTTTCGAATCCGAGACCTCCCGTAAGGGAGAGTTAGTCAGCAACGAGCTGGGTGGGACCTCTTCCTTAATTTAAACAAATTATATATACTTATATATTGAACGAGATAGGGCATGTCGACACACTCAACACGAGTCAATACTAATATCAGGACCCGCCTCATTTGCAAGGCGGAGCGAGGCGGATCCGGCCCAATGTCTTGGGGATGGGCGGTTCGTTGTGGGCCGAATTTTTTAAAGCTAATTCCAATTTTACCCTTTACAAGTGTTTTTTGGATATAAGTCTATTTTTTTTTACTTTGTTTTCATCCTTTAGTCTCCATTGTTTCAAAACAACACTTTTAAATAGGAATGGGTTGGAGAAACAAATTTTAGTACTGCATATATGACTAATTATATTGTCGGACCGGTTTGACAAGATCCGTTGTTTGGTGAAACCCGTTGAGGGACTTCCAATTTAATTTTTTTGATTACTTTTTTGTGATCTAATTCAAAACTAAAATTTTATGAAGATATTCTGGTTAAAAACATTCTCAAAATTTTTTATTAAAAAAGTCCATCGTAAAGGATCTCAAATTACCTTGGCTGGACATCGACTCCAAACCGCGATCATTCCTGCAGAAAAGTATGATACAAGCATTTTAAAGCGTCTTAAAAAAGAGAAATCGTTCATCTCATCTTCCAACAATTTATCTTCATCAATCCAGCTTGAGGTACACATTTTCATAAACACACCTACACACTCATGTTTGTGAAGAGTATTTTTTTGTCTATATACAGACATAAAACAAGTTATGTCTGTATACAGACAAACAAATATTCTTCACAAACATGAGTGTGTAGGTGTGTGTTTGCAAAATGTGTAGAAATAGATTTCTTATCTTCATAGAGTGGTTGAAGGTAAATTAAATATACTCCAAAAGGTTAATTATTTTTTGTCCAGAGTAATATTTTTGTATGTCACTGAGGATGTTTTCTTTTGGACTGAAATTTGCTGGTCTGGTCTGGTCTGGTCTGTTTAACTCTGGTCTGGTCTGGTCTGTTTAAGTCTGGTCTGGTCTGGTCTGGTCTGAACTGGTCTGGTCTGGTCTGGTAAACGTCTGGTCTCTGTGTATTTTATAACTACGGAAGTCTGGTCTGGTCTGGTCTGGTCTGTTTAAGTCTGGTCTGGTCTGGTCTGGTCTGTTTAAGTCTGGTCTGGTCTGGTCTAGTCTGTTTAAGTCTGGTCTGGTCTGGTCTGAGACTGAAAACAGTCCAAAAGAAAACATCCTGAGTCAATCTCTCTAGTCAAGGCTGGGATTAGATACTTTGTGTCGGGCCCGCAGTTAGCTAACGCTGTTAGGCTCACTGTTTATTCTGTGCCTACAAATTAGTGAAATTACCACTCCGCTTCTTCGGGATTTCTGCTTATTCTGCTCATTAGTTCCCTTAAATACATTAGGTTAATTTAAGCACAAAGATTATGGTAAATTAGTTATGAGGCAGAGACCACAATTTAATTCTGTGTGACTAAAAAAATGGCCTTCTTCCATTTCTCTCTCTCCCTCATTCCAATGTTCCCTTCTGTGTTGTACTAATAATTCAAAGCAGCAAAGTTAAGAGCATCCAGTAAACCATGTTCCTTTCTCCTTCTCCACTTTCTCTCCTTTGTGCTTTCATCCTCTGTTTCCCACTCGCCTTTTTCCTCACCGTGAAAACCACTCTCCCTGCCGGAATCCGAAATTACCACCCGTCCCGAAATGGAAGACAGCCGTCGTTACTTCTTCCGTCATCGCCGCCGGCCGGGAGAAGGCAGCCGCTTCACCAGCTTCCGCCCTTCATTGACGGGTCGAAGAAAACCGGAAACCTCCCGGTTCGGGTTAGAGAACGGCGGAAGCCTGCCGGAAGGCCCAGGAAGCTGGCCTTCATGTTCTTGACCACCACCCCCGCTGCCGTTTGCGCCGCTGTGGGAGCTCTTCTTCCGCGACGCGCCGGCGGATCTGTACAACGTGTACGTCCACGCGGACCCGACGTACAACTACACCACGCCGTTCACCGGCGTTTTCTCCGGCCGGGTCATCCGGTCCTCGAAGCCCACTCGCCGGCTCACGCCCACGCTCGCTGCGGCGGCGCGTCGGCTTCTCGCGGAGGCGCTGGTGCATGACAAGTCGAACCACATGTTCGCCCTCCTCTCGCCGCAATGCATCCCGCTCCACTCCTTCAATTTCACATACGCCGCTGTGGCCGGGTCCGAGCGGAGTTTCATAGAAGTTCTGGCGAACGAGTCGTGGGCGATTCGGCGGTGGTCGGAGCGTGGGGAGACGGCGATGCTGCCGGAGGTGAAGTTCGAGGATTTCCGGATCGGGTCCCAGTTCTTTATCCTGACACGTAAGCACGCCATGATTGTCGTCCGTGACCGGATCTTGTGGCCGAAGTTCTCGCTGCCGTGCGTGGCGGCTGACGAGTGTTACCCGGAAGAGCAATACTTCCCTACGCTCCTGAACATGGTAGACCCGCAGGGGTGCACGTCAGCAACGTTGACCCACGTTGACTGGAGCGAGAGCCACGAGGGACACCCCCGGACCTATAATGCAACCGAGGTGGGCCCAGAGCTGATCAGGAGCCTTCGGATGGACCGCCCGCGGTACGGGAATGAGGAGATGAACGGCTCGGATCCGTCCCTGGTGAACCGGCATGACCCGTTCTTGTTTGCTAGGAAGTTCTCTCCCGGCTCGCTCGGCCGGCTCATGGCTATTGCCAAAGAGTCCATCTTAAAAGATTAATTAATGGGAAAGAATCTCGCATTTCTGTAACTGAGTTTTTTTTTACTATTCAGAAAGTAATATTTTCAATATTCGGTCAAAAATGCATAAAGACGGTGAAACCGTGTGCAGAAAGTAATGTGGAAATTTTAAACGTTAACCAATTGTAATTAAAGTTATTTTATACTTCCTCCTTTATTTTTTATTTTTTAGTTGTAACATTCCTTTATTCACGTTTGTCAACGCACACCTTTTAGTGTCATTATATTTAATTCTCTATTACTAAAACATTTTAAAAATTAGATTATGAAAGTTTGTAATGAGACAAATTCTACAATATGTTTTTTTAAAAAAATATTCATATCATTAATAAATAAAATTTACTCAAAGAATAGTGCATAAATTCCAATATTCCAATTAATATGATATAGAGGATAATATTTTTTTACAGGGTTGCTTCTTTGATTTTTTCTACTCTACCACTACCCGATTTCCTTATTAAGAGTAATGCCTTTTGTTTGCTAATAATCAAGCGTAAAAAGTTCAACCGTATAATCTATACATGACAAGTATAACCAAATATGCACAAGATTTGAAATTCTATAGCAAAGCTCCAAATTAAAATGTTTTAAAATGTGAAGTTAGGACAACTGATGCCCTCTTAATCTGGAGCTTCAACTCAGGTATTGACGATTTGAAGCAATTACTAAATTCCACTGGAGCTTCCGTATAAAATGTTTTAAAATGTGAAGTTAGGACAACTGAAGCTTGAAATCAGGGCATCAGTGAAAGTTATTTTGTTAGCTAATAATACTCCGAGATAATAATTACACTTACGAGGAATAAAAACGTGTAAGTTAGGACAACTGCGTGCCTATTTTGGTATGTGTACCGATATATTTTGAGCTAGAGATGAGAGCAAACATTGTATTTTTGAGTCATTTACAAACATTTGAGAGCCCGTTTGGTAGCACGAAAATCGACTGTTTTGGCTGTTTCTGCTGAAATTTATGAAGTTCTGGCTGAATTGGCTGTTGTGGCTGATTCTGCTGATTCTAGAAAAAAATATTTTAAAAATATATTTTATGAATAAAATAAAGAAAAAATTACATGTAAAAATAGCTAAAATGGTCATCTACAGTAACTTCAGCCAATACAGCCAGAAAAGTAACTCCAACCTTACTTTTTCTGCTTATTACACAATTCAGCACGCGAAAGTAAAAATTACGTGTTTGGTGAAAAAGCTGGCTGATAAGCCTGATAAGCCGAAAAAAGAGGTCTCCAAACGGACTCTGAATCTTATTAGTAAGATAATTGTGACTTTGACCATGAATGAATGAAACCAAAGACACAAAAAGTTTTTTCTTACCTCAATAAACTTAATTCACATTATTAAAATCGTATCACAAAACGGTCAAGATACATTTAGGAGGAGAAAACATTCAATTTTGACTCTCAGACATAAATAGACGCTCTTGCTAAATTATGAGCCACTGAATTCATTGGGCGCCTAAAAAAAGAGAAGAAATATTAGTAAACTTCGAGCTAATTTCACAAATATCCTACGTCCCTTAGTCGATAAAAGTAATCCGTTAGGTTCTTGATTTCATTGATAACCAATAACCAATGTGATTCAACCTCTACAAAATCCAGAGATTGGTCCTTAAACCAACTCAAAGCCTCTCCAATGTTCAAAAGTTCAGCTCAGAATGGAGTACAATAGCCCCCCTCCCCCAATCATTTGCTCCCTTGCCACAAATTCCCCAACATCATCCCATATAACCTAGCCCAATACGCATGTCTGGCTCCCATGCAGCAGACATGCGTATATTGATTAATTATTTTAATGTTTATGTGATTAATTGATTGAATTGGTATAAAGTTGGAATTGTTTGTGCAATTTTTTTGATTAATTTTTCTCATTGCTATAGACCTACCTATAGTTGCTATAAATTTTAATTGATTGATTAGTTTAACTCTAAGAATTTAAAGTTGAAAACTTTTTTAACTTGTCAGGTTACTCATGTGATCATGTCTATTTTACAATTTGTAAAACGATTAGGTGGCTCTACTAGACGAGATAACGAAGAAAGTAATAGAGAAAAATATCTTCGTGTCGAATTTGATCCAAATGATGTTGTGTCTGATCCTTCATTACGTAAACCAATCAAAGATTATAATTCTTTTATTAGAGACCAGGTTCTGAGAGAATATTTAACAAGAGGTCCGTGTAGACCGATTGGCCATATATATCCTAAGAAAGTGTATGGTTAAGATAAATATTTATATTTTTTCATTTTATAATAATTTTAGCCACCCCTTTATTTTCGTTATGGTTTGGTCACAGCCCATGCCACAAATTCCCTATTTATCCAGCATCAACCCAACACTGGTCTGCACCATCTAGAACTACCCACCTCAAATCTTGTCCCTACCTTACTGCCATTGTATTGGGTCTGCCTCCCGCCATCAACAAAAGTCTTAGCTATATGCATAAATTGACTAACAGCAAGACTTTCCTCATGTTGCCAAACCCTTCTGTTACGCTCTATCCACAAACCCCAGCACCCCCAAGCAACTGCCAGTTGCTCCTCCTCTTTCTTAACCCGAAAAACCCTCTCGAACTACTCCAGAAAAGAGCCTATCAGTTGGTCAATCACCGACCAACCAATTGCATGCCAGGCTTCCCTCAGAAGCGAGCATTATATAAACAAGTGCAAAGTCGTTTCCTCCCCCACTCCGCACAAGCCAAATAGCACCAGACACGTCACTCGTTGTTGCCTTCGTCGTCGAAAAACAATCTGTACATGTCTGCTAGAACAAAGTTTTCACTTTAGGTCAAATATCCCAGTTCCACACAGCCGTCCATCTCCACCAATCAGTTGTATCCACCTCACCTGTCAGCCTCCTATAACAGTTTCAAACGGAATATCCGCCATCTAGCTCCCATTTCCGAACGAGCCTATCTAGGACTGACCTCATGCTTACTGTTGTCCTCTGTTAATATATTGTTGGCCCAAACGTTTTTTTGTATATTAATAATGGTCAACACACTTTCTAGCAGCTCACTACACTGTACCCATTTATCTATCTGGCCTATCAATATTACCTCTCCCATTAGAATTTGAATTCAGCTCATTATTGAGCTAGTGATGAGTTGTGTGTGCAGTGTATTAGTTGAGTGTCCTTGTGAGCCCTTCTAATAAAGCCAAATGCTTCCTTGTTATAAGGACACTCCCTGCCCCTTTGTTCTGCGAGTGAAACATATTGAGAGTTTCCTCCTTCATTTTCCTCTTGGTGAGTGAGAGTGTTTGTGAAGCCATTATCCTTCTTGGTGAGGTGAGAGTCCTTCTTGGTGAGGCTAGTGTGAGTGTTGGCGAGGTTAGAACGGTGTGTTGCTCCCTTAGCCTAGATGTGCACAAGAGACGATCGGAAACCGAGCTCCGGACTGCCTGAGCTGGAATACGGTGATGGAATCGATCCTCAACAGTGGTATCAGAGCCTGGTTGTCGTCTGCCTCCGTACTCCGCCGCCGTCCACCGCCGCCAACCGTCGTTCGAGGTCGCTGCCGTCGATTAAAGCTTCGCCTGATCTGGAGCTCATCGATTGGACGTTCTTTCGTCAGTTGCTCGCAGCTCGCCGGAAGTTGAAGCCCTGCCATAGCCGCCTAGAAGCTCAGCCATCGTCACCCGGGAAAACCGCCGTCGAAGTCACTGGTGCCCTCCGTCGTTTTCCGCTTGACGCTGGGTTACTAAGCTCACCTCGCCGCCGAAGATTGAGTCCGGATTTCAGATCCAGAGCCTATTCGTGAGGCTGAAGCTGGACGAATCACCTGAAACCAGAGGCAGAGCTCGTCATTGCTCGCCGATTAGTTCGCCGTTGGACCCACCGTCGGCCTGGGAATCGCCGCCGGCAGTTGTCTAGCCTCTCGCACGAGTTCGACGGTCTTCCGTCGTGGTCACTGGTAGTCGAAATCCAGCAGGGAGGCCCGTCACTTGACTATTGCTTCGTCGCAGAGGCTCGTAGTTCTTCACTCGCCTCGGAGCTGTAGGACTGGACTGGGACGAGAGCAGGAAGAAGGAACGCAGGGCTGAGAACTTGCTGGATTCTGGGCTGCTCAACTATTGGGCTGGACCTTGGACTGTTGGATTGCTTGTAGGCCGCTGGGTTGCTCGTGGGCAGCTGGGTTGCTTGTGGGCAGCTGGGTTACTGAACAAAGCTGGAGTGGGCTGCTGATTTGGACTGCTGGATTTGGATTGGAAGCTGGAGACATGGAGGCTGGACACTGCTGCTTCATTGGATGCCATTGGCAGGAAGCTGGAAGCAGGTCAAACTCAGTCAAAGCTTAGTCAAACCAGTCAACTGTCCAAAAAATCCCAATTTTTGAATTGGGTGGGTAAGGTCGAAACGCCTATCCTAGGGTTTCGCTCCGGTATATTGACTTTTATCCCTTTTATCGCTTTTGTAGTGATTTTTTAGTCTTTTATTGTGTAGAAATCTGTTTTAGGTTTATTACTGCTGTTAAAATTAATTAAATTGTTGTGTTGTTCTGTGCTGAAAATTTATTATTTATTTGTGCTTATACGGAAGAACAAGGGGTTTGAAGTTGAGTTTGGTGCTCATTAATACTCCCCGCGTGTTCGTGCTAGTTGCTTCGTATATTGATAGCCTTATAAATATTTAAATTGTTTTTCAGCAAAATTTACATTTTCTTTTGTTGCTTATTTTTTCTCTGTGAAAATGTCTGCTTATAATCAGTATGGTATGACTCCATTTAATGGAAAATCTGATATTAGCATTTGGAAGCAAAAAATTAAATGTATTTTAATACAACAAAAATGTTTTAAAGCAGTTGGCGAAACCTATTTAATTTCTGACACAGAAGAGAAAATGGCTGAAATGAATGAAAATGCATGTTCTGTGATTTATTTGAACTTATCTGATTCTGTGATTAGAAAAGTTGGAAATTTAGAGAGTGCTAAAATTCTATGGGATAAATTGAATGAACTGTATACTGAGACCTCTTTGCCTAACCGAATATTTTTACTTGAGAAATTCTTCAAATTTAGACTAGATATGTCTATAGATATTGAAGAAAATCTAGATGTTTTTACCAAACTTATTTCGGATATTAAGTTGTGTGGTGATAAGCATATAGATGATCATTCCCCTATTGCTCTTTTAAATGTTATTCCTGATTCCTTTGGTGATGTGAAATCTGCTATTAAGTATGGTAGAGATAATGTGACTCTTAACATTGTGCTA